AACCAAATGACGGAAGCAATGGACATTGCTGCTGATGTCAAGAATGAGTTCTCGGGATTTGTGCCATTTCCCGAGAGTAACAATAATATTACTGCTACCTCGACCTCGAGGGTGAATTCCAGGGTGGTTCCTTTTACCGACTACGATGAGTCCGACCCGATGACGACGTTGTCCTTAGCGCCGCCTGGGATGTATAGGGGTCCCGGGTTGGGGGCGGAGGAGAACTTGCCGGCGGGGTTTTGGGATGCAATGAGAAATGTGATCGCCAGGGAGGTTAGGGAGTATGTTGCCTCGTCGTTTTCGGCAACTTCCTCCGGGTTTCATTAGCACGAGGATTAATGATGCTTGTTGTTATTACTCAATTTGCTGTTAATTAATTTGTTTATATTCTCACGATTAGTTAAAAAAAAAAAGAAAAAAAAAATTCTGAATGCCTCGAGTTGGAAGGCATGGTGGTTTTAATTATTTTAGCAATATCTTTCACGTGAACCTGATTAATGGGGAAAACCTTTATTTTTTTTGTTCCCCAATTCCATTTCCAATTTCTAAGCCGTATCATTGTGCTTACTTTAGATTATTTATCCATTATTTGAGGCCAAGATTGAAGTCAGAATCTTGGACACGATGGCTAAATACTTTAACTGGAAATGTAGGACGACTCTACTTTCTTGTTCGGCTAATAAAATGCTTATTAGGTTATAAGTCCTCGGGACATCCTCAAGAGTTGCCGGCTTTTGAGGACTGTTCTGGGATTAGATTTATGATTTGACAAAAAATAAATAAAATGCTTATTAAGGACTTGTTTGGATTGCAGTTTTTTGTCAGAAAATTACGTTATTTTTCGTGATCACATTTATCTATTACCTTTTTTTTTCTCACATACATCAAATCGCTACAGTAATTTTTCTATGAAAAATCATGAAAAATGCAATCCAAACACAATATTGTGGTCTCTCGATATTTTTTTCCCTTTAGGCACCTTCTTGAAAATTGCATTTCAAACCAGCCCCTGGAAATTAGAAAAAATAAATGTACGCCACCTTTGAGCAAATACAAGGGGGCTAAAAGATTATTTTGCAATTGTCCTGCTTCATAGCCACAAGAGGAAGAAGGGTAAAACTTTGTCACACTCGGAATGAGTTCAAAGCTCCTGCATGAGTTCCTTCAAAAATCGCATTTTCGCCTGGTTACACATGCTGTACTTAAAACTTGCTGGAATCTAAAACAAACAGAGTTGCAGGTTGCATCCTGCTCATTATTTTTTGGCTTTTGGAAGTGTATAAAATAAATTATTATTGAGGAAGTTGTTTACACTAGTGAAAGGACCATCTCTGTCGGAAATATGCATTTTCATGGGTATCTGATCTCTCATACATAAATTTTATTTCACTACAAAGTTAGACCTTGCTTTGGTTGTCTTTTTTTTTTTTTTTTTTCAAAATATTTTTACATTTTCTGTAAACTCATTTTTTATTCAGTTTTTTACCTCATGTACATTAAATCACTACGGTATATTTTTTCACAACAACTCTAGAAAACAGCAATTCAAATGGGCTCTAAGCTACAGTGACAGCTAAAGAGAGGGCGAGGAAAAGTCACTCTCTTATCTTGAAAACAAATACATGAACCCTGCAGCTCCCCATTGAACAAACGAGCATACATAGTTTACCATTTCTGTGCATCTTAACTGGGAACCATTTACTTAGCAGCATTTAGCTGCCAATCTCAAATTCTTAGGAAGCATACACATACAACTTGGTTGACGATATGCATTTTAGACTGCGTAGTGCGCGCTTAGTTATATGATCAATGTTTCACATACATACTCATCGTTACAGCTCTTAAAAAAAGCAAAAAAAAAAAAAAAATAATAATAATAATTGATGGCGAACCACACAACCAATATTTTATGTAGCTACATAATACAGGTGAATTATATTAATATAATTTAAGAGGAGGGATGGATTGGATGGTCGGAAAAGATGGAAGATAAGTGAGATGTCTCCAGTTTAAGATATTTCATTAGCACTAAAAAAAATTAATATGACTCCCATTATGAATCAATTATAAAATCTAATTGATCCGTGAGAATAGATGAGATTATAATTTTAGAGTTTCATCTTGTGATGATCATTTAATTGAGAACTATAAATATCTTTTTTCATTCTTTTCTTCTTCTTTTTGGGGTTAATTTTTGGCATGTTTCCTAGCTAGGAGCTACACTTTATCTAGAAATGGCATTAGGACATTTTATATCTTTTTGTGTTTTGAGGGCATTTTATATTTGAAAGCATTTATGAACCGCAAGTGATAATGTGAATGACCAATTGATAATGGGAAATTTGCCAAATTGGTTCCTAACATTTTCACAAAATACTTTTTTAGTCCCTAACATTTAAAATCAGTCAGAATAGTTCCTAACATATAAATTATGAGCCAGTTTGGTCCTAATGCTCGTATTTGTTCTTTTTTCCGGCTAAAAATAGTACACCGGCGTAATTTCAAGGGCAAAATCGGAAAAATTCGTTAATCCATAATTGTGCATCCCTCAAACTCTTCCACCACTTCTTCAATTGATTCTCACCCTTTTGTTGAAGCTCTCCAAAGGCTTTGTGGGTTTAAGAAGGTGCAGAGAATTATTTGCCAAATAAGAAGATAAAAATGAGTTCTTTGTTGAAATTGATATCGAATTCAGAGATTTCCAAACTGAAAAGGGTATTCTTCTCAATAACCATAGCTGCCTGAGAGAACCCATGTTGCTGATTCCTTGGTTAAGAGGAGCAAGGACGGATGATTTTACGAAGTCAGAAGCAGAAGAAGAGATTGGGTCAATGGCTGAATAGAGACGGAGGAATATGGGCTCCGTTCAAGCAAAGATAGCCTGTGGACTTGCCAAAATGCTTCAACAGCTTTCTTACCAAATTTGAGCAATCAATATGAGGGAACTGCAGATATTGGTACAGAGTATTGTGGAAGAAGATGATTATGCATTGGAAGCCGCTGATTGTGACAGATGCAGGCTCTGTCTTGTTTGAAAGAATTGAAGCTGAAGCTTTCTAACCCACAAAGCCTTTTGCTTAATTTTCCACCTTCTGGACAACTCATGATTGACCCTGTTGTCATAGCCTGTAGCCAGGCTAGTAGATTTCCCATTAATCTTCTGTTCGAGATTGAAACTTTTTCTTGGTGGCTTTGATATTTCTTGAAACTTCTTTTTGGTGTCTTTGATATTTCTGTCTTTTCATTCAATTTTTCTTGTTAATTCTCCATCCTAGTAGCAGTAGGTTGAGAATCAATTGAAGAAGCGGTGGAAGAGTTTGAGGACTGCAAAATTATGGATTAGCGAATTTTTCCGATTTTGCCCTTGAAATTACGCCGGTGTTCTATTTTTAGCCAGAAAAAAGAGCAAATACGAGCATTAGGACCAAACTGGCTCATAATTTATATGTTAGGAACTATTCTGGTTGATTTTAAATGTTAGGGACTAAAAAAGTATTTTGTGAAAATGTTAGGGACTAATTTGGCAAATTTCCCATTGATAATTTGACCAAACTAAAAAACGGAACATGAAAAGACAGGAATCATTATTACGGGGGAGGGCTCCTGGAAGGTCGAAACTCGAAAATCGTGGTGGGATCAAGGCCACAGGTTCCTTGTCCTTAGTCTTTTTTTTTTTTTCTTCCAGCAACGATACATTTGTATAACCTGCTTTATCTTAATCTAAAGGGGAAGGGGGAGCCGAAGAAAGTCGTGATAGAGAGATAGTGGATATACAGATTCAATTAAACCAAAAAAATACTGACACAACTTTTAAATTTTTTTCGTTACAGGTGAAATTTGAACTCTCACCTACAACCCAAAGAGGGAGTTAAAGCCCCTCTCTCATGGCATGCTCTTGACGGAAAGCTCGCTGTTCCCAGTTCCCACTTTGAGTTGTACTTTTCTTTCAATTTCAAACTTAATTTAAGGGTGGCAAGCTCCATGTTGTAAACGTGCTCAACAGCCAGAGTCAGTGTGAAACCAACATCCTGTTTCGGCCACCATGCTTTGTGGTACCAGGCTTTAACAACACTACTTTTTTTTTTTTTTCCTAACGATAATAATAACAACACTACTTGCCCTTGATAAAATTTTGCATCAATGCCCATTTGGGCACCTAGAGAATTGTAGCTGCCCCCTGCCACCACAAGGTTTCTTTCTCCTTTGTGGTTGCAATATGAGCACTAAAATCTATCAGCCAATTTTGATCTCAATGGTGCATAATCGATAAAATTGAAGACTCAAAAGAATGAATTTGGGCAAAGTAAAAAAAAAAAAACCCAAAAGGAAAAGTCTTTCCAACTTGTTTAGTATCTCGTTTCAACTTGGGAATTAAGATGATCACGGTTATGCCAGCCAGCTTTTAAACACTGCCTTGGAATTTTGGCAAAAGAAAAAAAAAAAGGAAAATAATTGGGTCATTCTTTTTCTGCCTGATAAATGGAGAGTAGATACCAAGAAAGTCATACCTCAGTTCAGGCTTAGACAATAATTTCATGCAGGGTGCTCTTGTTTTGCCTATTTGGGCTTAACCAAATATCTAAGCCTTCGGTCGTCGGCTCTTCTTTATTCGTCAGACAATGACCGGGACATCTATCATGCAGGCACCTTGAAAAATCAAGATAAGGTCAAGAATTTGAGAATTTATTTCACAGACCGATGTTGGAGAATGTTACCATCAGGAATGTCTCCAGCCGTCCCACTGCCGGTCATCTAAACGGTATTAACAGAGACGTAGGCTGTCGGTTCAATATCTCAAGTCTGAAAAACGTTGCTCTAGAAACATACGTTACTTTTTACCAAAAACAGTGACATGCTGTAGATACATTCAAGAATGGGATCTCAAGTGTGAAAAGCATATGACAAGAAGTTGGGAGTGAAAATATGAAAACCCATGACCATATTTATCAACAGGATGCATGTAACACGAGAAAAGCTGCACGCATGTAGCTTGCTTGTATTTCTGTTTCATTACCGTATCACTTGAGTACAGAACTGAAATAAAGAACTAGTATATGTGTATCCACTCTTAATTTCGATTGTGCTCAGCCTCATATATTTTTTTTTTCTGGCAGCATTTATTCATTCCGTACAATAAATAGTACTCCAAGCTAAAATCTTAAGCTAGATCACTGCTCAGTTAACCATATGTTGGCTGATTGTTGGTTTAATGAAAACACATCAGGGGAATGGAGGACGATAGAGAGGAATGGCAGCAAATTTCATCAATCCTTTGGTGCAGTCATCGCCATTTCCCTCTCTGCTAGCAAAGTAGTTAGGCCTGACCCGACTCAGCGTATACGAAAACCCATCTCCACCTCCTTGATTGGGAGGTGCCACCAGGGTTGCGGCCTTAAAATCGCATGTCAAGAAGCTGTAGAGGTTTGGTAGCAGGTACACACTGTGAGGCTTCACGGTGTCGTTAGGAGGAGGATACCTGAACACTGATGCACCACCACAACAATTAACGTTAGATCAAACCATTAATTAAACAGTAATATTCAGTTGTTAATGACATTTACATTGTACTAAATAAGGTCCCCAAGCAGATTAATGTGCACAATTAGTTAGTAGATTTCGAAAATCCAATCCAAATTTATACAATTTGGGTCGCCTAATCTAGAATCAAAAAACGAGTGTACATCAAAATTGGATTGAATCAGATTTTCTGACTCAGCTGATAAAAATTTCAAGTGATGACAATAATGCAAGGCTAACCTAGTGTGTCGTTAAGGAAAAAGGGACCGTGTTTCAAGGCCCAATCAGTGTAATTGTAGCCGTAGCGCCATCCCTCTGAGCCTCCAACAACAACCGTTTCAGCTTGGCTAATTGCCAAGGTGGCTACTAAGGTTAGGAGAAGGATAAGTAACCCTTTACCAAAACTCATGGTAATGGCCATCTCTATATTGTCTGTATTCGAATTAATATGCAGCTAGAAAAGATGAGATGTAGCTAGTTGGATGATCTGAATTTGGGATGGAATTTAGTTGGGTTTATATAGATGTTCCTGGCAACACTCTCCTTGACTGGTTCTCAAGATTAAAAATAGCAGATTGCTGACTGCACAGAATATGTTGAAGATCATCATCTTGCTAGTTTTCTTAGTTAATGTTGAAAATTACCCAACAAAATTCTAGACTTCCATGCCTAGCTCTGACCGCATTATGGTTTACCTTATTCTGTCTAATTCTCATTAATGCCCCGAGGAGGCTTCAACATTGAAATTCTTTACAGGTTAAGGCTGCACAAGCTTCCGGGACTTGTTAAGACTTAAAGGGCGGGCATAAATGTCAAGGTGTTGGTTGACGAGGAAAATTTAAGAGCCAGGATGATTCAAGTTTCTTCAAAGACGAAGAATATGGTTACATTAAATCATTACTATGATTACGAGGTGCCCCGGAAGTCAGCTAAAGACAACTGAATTTGGGTTGGTACGTAATGGAATTTCACCAAGTTTTGAAGCAGTATTTCAAAGGCATCATTGGCCAGACCAGGAGAAGGAAATTGCGCTTGTCTACAACCTTACAACAAATCCAAATGGTTTTCTAGATACCTGCATGTTTTCGATTTGGTTGTCTTGCCTCCAATGTTCTTCTAGCTTGAAAAGGAAGGATAAAGGTGTAGAGGAAGGAAAATGTGACAGCAAACGCTAAATCAATTTCATGTGAGAAAATAAGACCACTGATCATGGTTTATGTTCATCTCTTACTTGCATAAATGCAGCAAAACAGCATCCATGCTTATAATTTGTATCTTCAAACCAAAGCGAAGATTATATATCATTTGATGTTTAACGTTTACGTGCCAGGAAACTGGAAAAAAAAGGAAAAAGAAAAGACATAAAATAAAGGGATGAAAAAAAAATTACTCTTGAAAGGCATAAATTTAGTTTAAATCCTTAAAATTTTCCCCGTCGGTTGGTATTCACTTCTATATATGATTTGTACAATTTATTATAATTTAAATCAAATAAAAAAGAATAAGTAATACAATACTAAAATAAACACAGATACCAATTTTTATTTTTTTTTGGAAAAAGAGGTACTAAAATTGTTTTTTATTTAAAAGGTAGTTTTTTTAATATTTTAGTTTACGTGAACTTTTAGGCTAATATTATTGTTAATTTTTATTAATGTGTTTATAGTTTAGTATTATTGCTTTTTCTTCTCAAAGATTAATCTCCACTTGTCTTCTCTAAGTTTAAAAATGAGGCATATCAACCATTTTAGCAAACTGATTAAGAATTTCATATTTGAATAATTTGATAAAAAAAATGACACTGATATCTGTCTAAAAGTTTAAATAAATTAAAATGACAAATATATTACTTTTAAAAAAATGAGTTTGGTATTACCTTTTTTTATATAAATTTTGGTAATTGTATTTATTTTTAGTATTCTGTTATTTATCCATGTTGTTTCACTTAAAGTCTAATAAATTGAATAAAACATTGTATATAGAAGTAAACACTAATCCAATAGGAAAATTTCAAGGATATAAATTAAATATCAACTTTCTTTAACTTTTTTTAGCTTGATATTTTTGTATAATTGATATGATGGAGAAGAAATAAATCTTCAAGAAATGAAAGGAAATAATATTAGGTTATAAATAATTTCATGAATAAAGGCAATAATGTAATTGCACTCATACAAAGTCATAAATTTTTGGGCAAAAACCCGCGGTGGTCCTCAAACTTTCAACTTTGCGCACTTTTAGTCCTCCAACTAATAAGTGCATAAATGTAGTTCTTCAATTAATAAAAATGTATAGTTATAGTCCTTCCGTCCAATTTGGCCATTAAAATGGATGGGAAATGCATCACGGATTGCTCACATGACATTTATTTTTGGAATAATTACAAAAATCTCCCTAGAGGTTTCTAACAATTTCACTGAGCTCTCCTGAAATTTGAAAAATTACACTTACTTCCTTTGATTTGATTGTTTTAGTAACAAAACCTTAAAATAATATTGACTTGTTCAAATTTTTAAATGAATATCCAAAAATACCCTTGTGTAATGAGTTTTAATTTACTTTCCTATATAATTATAAGATTATCAAGTATAATTATAAGAAAAATGTCCCAAAATTTTCAAGTCCATACCTACTATTTGATAAACAACTATAATAATAATTTTATCATTATGATAGGATACTTTTGATGGTATTTTATTATGGATTTAAATTTATAAGATAGAAAAAAATATTGAAATAATTCATTTAGAGTTTATGAATTTTTCGAGTAGTTGGATTATCATAATTTAATAGTAATTTTGGGCCATTTTCTTTTCATTTATTGTTAATTTTAATACCAAAAAATAGAAAACAAAGATAAGCAAATACATTGGATTGCATATAAAGTTAACTCGTCAAAAAAATCACTACTTGGACATTCGGTTACACTAGAAACTAGAGGTGAAAGTGGTAGTTCTACAGTTTTATTGACAAAAAACTTTTAAAAAAAGGAATAAGAAGGAAAAAGAATGAAAAAATAATTTTAAAAGTCATTCTGAGTATACACATATCAAACAAGGAAATTTTATTAAAATATTTAAGGGTAGTATTATCATTTTAAATGATAAGGGAGGTATATGTAATTTTTAAAATCTTAAGGGAGCTAAATGAAATTGTTAAAAACCTCAAGGGAGGTTTCTGAAATTATCCCTTTATTTTTTGTATCATCCCTAACAGCCAAATTAGACGGAAGGACTATGACTACACATTTTTATTAATTGGAGAACTATATTTACGCACTTATTAATTGGAGGATTAAAATGCACAAAGTTGAAAGTTCGAGAATCACAGCGATTTTTTGCCCTAAATTTTTTGTAGTAGGTGTAGTATTTATACTCTGGAAATCACTTACCACCCTCAAAAGTATATAATAAGTAGGCTTTTTCCACATCCCAAAAGTATAACTTCTTGTACATAAACCTAAATTTAGCTGCATTTGCTGTTTGCAGCTATAGAATCGAAAATTCAATATGTGAAGGTATTAATCCCTCGAGCTGTTGCTTGGCACAATTTCTAGCTAACTTTTCCTCCTTCATTTCCTGCTTTCTTTCCTTGCGCGTTTTGGGCCAAGTGACATTATGCGGATCACGAGGGTCAATTATAAGTTTCTCGAGGACAATAGCGTTCTCGAGGAAGTATTCAACAAGTTCAAGTTCACTTCTGCGACCATAGTATCCAAGTAACTCAACCACTTTCAGATGTTGGAGCGGAAAGCTGGCAGCTTTCTTCAACTTTCTATCTCCCCTGACCATATCATTCCACCATGATTCCAACTGCAAACAGATTAAGCTGTCAATAACTAAAATATTGCAGATCAAAAAGAACGGGGGGAAATCTGCTAAGAGTACACAACACAAATTAGAAAAAGAAAGAAACGAATAGGAGCAGCAACAGAAACAGCATGTCACACTGACACGAAGCATGTTAGTATAATCATTGCCTTTTCGCTTTCAAGAATTGATTGGGCTCCTAGACTGCGTTTAAATGTTCATAATCATAAGAATGTTCAAGTCCCATAGTATGACGCTCAATGGCATGGCATGGCATGCAGCAAATGCCACGGAGAATGACAAGAATAACTAAAGCAAGGCTCAAGAAAACAAAACCAGACAGTAAAAGAAAACGATGGCTGAGATTAGTACAGCAATATGCTACCTTCAGCACAAACTTCTCCAAGTTGGGGGAAGCCCTGATCAAAGAAGTAAATCCAATCAAACTGTCATCTTTTGATGCAAAAGCTATTAAGACGAACTCCTTCAGATTGGTAAGTTGAGGAAGCTCATGAACAATTCCTTTTTCCTAGGATGATCAAACAAGAAGAAAGCAAAATCAAACCAGTGAGGCAAGCAGTTGGCAGTGATTATAAACAATAGTTGGAAAGGAATCTCTTCAAAGAGTTCCATTAAATAACTAGAAAAAACCTGTGAAACTTGAAACTCGTCGGCACGTAAAGTAAGAACCTCTAGTTTTGACAAGCAGCAAGAAAGCCAAGAAGTAACATCCCTGACCAAGTTAAGGGAATCCCCAGAAACCCATACATTCACAAGCATGGGGACATTCTGAAGTACAAGATGGTGTGCTGCTGTAGTTGTAAGGGAGACTAAATTTGTGTCGTTGACAATAATGGATTGCAACCTCAAACAGTAGCATACCTCCAGATATTTCAAGGCAATAGATGGACCACAAACTCGAAGGTTGATCAAAACTGAAGAGGCCTCCACTACCAGGCGCTCAAGAAATGGACAATTGATCAAGAAGAATTCCAGTACCTCCCCAGTTACATTCAGACTTTTCAAACTCAATGCTCTAAGGGACTTGAAGCCAATCTGTGAATGATGACGGATTTCAGAGTAACCAGGTTGAGATTTACCACTGCTAAGGCGAAAAAGTTCATAATGGAAAGTATATGATTCTCGAGAAGAAGGCGGGCCATCATCTGGAAACAGGTTCAATTCCAGCCTTTGCACTTTCCTTGCAAATGCATGCTGAGGCCATTTATGAATCTTATCTCCATAAAATTTGTCCAAATAAAAAGCAACTCTCAAATAACCTAATGCCAAGGACTTGTCTGATTGAAGCAGCACCTTGTCAACCCATTCAACCTACTTCGCCTTTCCTTTCTAACAAAGGCCACATACCTTCCCCAGCTGGGTATTGAGAACATCTTCTTTAGCACTTTTAATGCATCAAAATCAAGGCAAGCCATGGACCTCCATGGATCTATCCAACGCTTTGAAAGAACACTTGTTCTGGCAGCTTCTTTTAGCATTAGACAAGACAGAATATAAACAAGGATTCCATCTGGAAGCTGACTAATCTGATCCTTGAGGGGCTGCCCTGTCTTTGCACACTATTAAGAAGGGCGAGAGGAAGAAAAAGATCCAGCAGCAAACATATGTTTCCTTTAGCAAATAGTTACAAGAAAGAAACTTCTTTTGTTTTGTGTTAGTAAGAGTGATCCTGTCTCACCTTCCTCGGTCCAAAACCAGTGGCAAGTATTGCCCTTGATTCCATTAAGATCAAAACTTTCTGCTACTTTTCTGTCTGTTATCAGGAATGAGAAAATGAACGACAAAGAATTCCATTTAGTACCATTTTAAGAACAAGATTACTATGCTGAAGCTCGTTAATTGACCACCTGGAGTCCTATGTGAACAAAAGAACCATAAAAGTCCTTAGAAGGAAAGTAAGCCTGACAAAATACCCATTAAGAATGACCAGGACAGATAGCATAGAATCCAAAAACAACAGCCAAAAAAAAAAAAAAATCTGCTACAACCCAGGATTGTTTTGTTGTCCTCCTCGCATGCTCTTCTTCCAACGTAAATAACAATACATAAAACACAAATATACCGCAGCAATAAAAACATAACCTTGGAATAAACCGCAAGCATGCCGGCAGACAAAATCAGTCAACAAATGAAACAAATATAATTCAGCTTAAGCATGTTTACCAGAAATTCGTCCTATAATCAAAGAAATCTAATATAAATTCTGTCTTGGCCAAAATCATTCTAATTAAAGGATGCTGCATGACAAAATTGCTCCAAAAATCTAACAGATATCAAACATTCATGGTAGGAATATATATGCATATAAGCTACCAAAAAACGTAAACCACAAACTTAGCAGGCAAATAACATGGCTAAACTAAAGATCCTACCAGAAAACAAAAAAGAAAAGAAAACCAATATGGAAGTGAGGCAGCTACAATCAATTACGATTCCAAAAAAAAAAAAGGAATTTTGAAACTAACTGCTGCAGCCCACTGTCGAGCCAGGGGAGATAAGTACAGCCACCGTTCTCAACGCCCGGTATCCGCCTACTTCAGCTTAGTCGAAAGTGGCCAGGAATAAAATAAGCTGGAGATTGTTACTTGTTTGAGCAAGAGAGAAGACTGATTTTTAGGCTGCTTTCGTAAAGTTGCCAGTTGCATCTCTTCTGATTGTTGGGTGGAGTCCCGTTGGGCACTACAAACATTAAACATGGGCTCGTGTCCATTTAGGATAATATCAGAAACCTCCCCTGGGTTCTCTTAATAAGTTTTAAGAATAATCACTTTTTTTTTCCAACAACCGTTTAAGAATAATCACTTACCTCCCTTATTTTTGTTATTTGTGTAATAAAATTTTTAAAAATCCTAAACTATCCTATTACTTGTTAAATGAAAATACTCCTAAATCACTTTATTTACTTTTAAAAAATCATTATCTGAAAAACAATCTCTACTAGTACTGCCATATTATAATGCTATAGTCCATAAAAATATATATTTGAAAAATAAAAATGATATTTGTAAAGAAATATGCTTGACTAATTTAACTCTATATATTTAAAATTGATTTCTTATGAACTTTATATTTTTTTCAACTTCTTCTCAACCTATGTCCAAATCTTTAAATTGTACTGATGATTATAAAAATCAACTTAAAATAAGCAAATAAACCATACCCATTCTATCACAATCATAAAAACTAAAAGATAAACAAAATTCAATTTATTATAATTTACAAATAAAAATCACATAATCATCCAAAAGATGAATAAGAGAGAATGTTGAAGAAAAGAAAAAGAGAAGAAAATGACTTTTGTTTTTTTGTTTTTAATTTTTGAACTCCATTAATTTGATATATGAATTATGTATCAAGTGAAAGTTAATATTTTTTTTTTTTGAATTTATTAGAAGGGGTAAGTGATATTTTTAAAATTTTAGGAGGGTCAAGTGATATTAGAAGAAACCTCAACGGAGGATTCTGATAATATCCCGCCCATTTATCCTTCGGCCAGCGATACAAATTTTAAAACTCGCAAGTTCTAACTAATGAGCGTGGTGAAAACCAATGGTGGATTTTACGTTTTCTCATATCTCTCTTTTCGTGTCATCTAATCCTCTTGAGACCATTATCTCTTTGATACCTAAAACAGAGGCTCCAGTGAACTAAACTAGCTATAGACCTATTAGTCTCTGCACTGTCTTGTACAAAATCATTTATAAAATTGTGGCCAATAGGTTGAAAAGATTTCTCAAGCATTGCATCAGTTGTTCTCGATCAGCTTTAATTCTAGAAAGACGGATCCTAGAAAATGTCTTGATTGCTCAGGAAATCCTTCATTTTTTGAAAAACAAAAGGGAAGGAAAAACTAGTTTCCTGACAATTAAACTGGACATGTTTAAGGTTTATAATAGAATTGAATGGAATTTTCTTGGGAGAATGATGATACAAATGGAATTTTATCCTATTTTTGTTAGGTGGATCATGGTCTGTGTCTCTACTGTTTCTTACTCTTTGAACTTGAATGGTGACCAAACAGTAAAATAATCACCTCCTGCTGGCTGAAATGTATGAGATTGAGAAATTTGCTATACCCTGCTATCGTCTTTGATCAGAAATCCACTAATAGATGGCCCCGACACCTGAGCTGAAGTTCCAACCTCCAGAGACTCTTTCGGGCCTCACATAGGCTTTTTTTTTTTTTTTTTTTTTTTTTTTTTTTTTTTTTTTGCAACGATAACATTTCTATAATTTAATCTATTCTAATTTAAAGGAATCAATAGGAATAAAAACTACATTGCAGAAAGCAACTCAAGACAGCCACTTGACAAATAGTTTGGACTCACATAACTTGGTCTACATGTAAATGCTGTCTCCTGATGGCTCCAACATTTGTTGCCTGAAAATTATGGGCTCACTTGACCCGCTTTTACTGGAAGAAAATGTTCGCGCTCCTTTATTACTTAACGTTCATTTGCGGATTAAATGTGCAAGAAAATATTTGATAGCATTATGCCTAAATTAGGGGTGGCAGCTAATTAAGATGCTCACCGGTAGTTCGCTCAAGCTTGATCGAATTGAGGCTCGACAAATTGCTGAACGATCATTTGCGGCATTTGCTGTTTAATTAAAGATGCAAGAAAATATTTAATAGCATTGTGCACGATTGGGGAGGGAGGGGGGTGGGAGGCAAAGAATCGACGTACTTGAGAGCAGCAGGTTAAAATCTCCACTCAACTTTGGTCAAATCGGAGATCAAGCTACTCGAGTCCATTGTTGAGTCAAATTTGATTCTTTAAATATGTTGAATTTTCCAAACTTTAGGTATATATATTATTTTTATTTCGTATAACTATTAAATTACCAAAAAAACCTATATTCATAGGATAATTACAAGTTTTGCCATTTAAATTTGAGCAACTCGATCTCAATTTACTTCTTGAGCTAGCTCAAACTCTTTATATTTCACATGGGTCAAGCTCAATCTTGTATGGTTTATATTTTACACAAGTTGAACTCGACCTTCAAATTTAAAAATTTGTCAAGCTTGAACCCCAACTTGAGCTCTAGATCCAATAATGTACTTCAAGTTTGAGTTTGAGTATTTGAGTTCAATTCCGATCATTGTCGCCCTACGCCCAATATCTTACTAGTATTATATAAGATTGAGTAGCTATTTGCTGTAGCAACTCCAAGAGCTGTCAGGTGGCGCAATGAGGAGCTTTCTTTGTTTCCTACTTTCCCTCTTTTGCTTTCAACACTTTTGGGTTAATGTTGGTACATAAGTTTTTTTCCTCCCCTCTAATTATTATGTAGACCAAATGAACCAACTTATTCAAGAAACATTTAGGTCCATAATAGCTAATTATTTATTACCATTTTAGTCAAGAATCAATAATATTAGAATTGATTAACAATTTAGGAGGTAAAGTGAGAAAAAAAAAATAACGTTATGAGTAAAATGCAAATCTGGTTAAACTTTAGGGAATTTTTTGTAATTAACCCTCATGCAAAATTAGCTAGTAGTATTTGGCAAGTGGAGAAAGAAAAGAGAAAGAGCAAATATTTCAGAAATTGAGGGGTTTTAGACAATTGTGACGGAGTGTTGTAGTTGCTGTTGTAATTTTCACATGATATGGTATATGTTGACGTACGTGTAAATTTCATTTGCATAGACCGACTAAATTGTATGAACATAAAGGTGTTTTCAAGTATATCATCAAATCACGAATGATACTACAAAATAATGGGATAGGATCCTTCCCATTGAATTCCTCTCCATTGTTCCCTCCATTTATTTATATCTAAAATTTTATAATTTTATAAAAAAATCATCTGATTATATCGTCATTTTTCTCTTAATCTCTAGATAAATATAATAAAAAATGATATTCATTTGAGAATATTTTAACATTCAATTTACATGAAACATTTAAATGATAAAAAATTAGTCAAAATTGAAACAAAATTTATAATGATTAATCGGAGGGTAAAACTTAATCAATTTATATGGAAATTGTATGCATAACTAATACAAGTAATCGAATATATTATGGATGATGTTGATTTTCAAAAATAATTTTTAAATTAATTTTATTGGGACATAATGGCGAGAAATTATCTCCATTGCAATAGAAGAAGCCTAACCTTAATTAAAACAACTACGCCAACCACATCAAGTGCCAATTGTACCTATTATAGACCGTAAGCACACCGTTACGCGTGTGACCCCAACTAGGGGTGTAATCGAGTCGAGTCGAGCTCGAGTATTGCTATACTCGAGCTCGACTCGACTCATATACACCAAAGCTCGAGCTCGAGCGAGCCCAAAAAATCGATACTCGAGACTCGACTCGAAAAATTTCCTTTAGGCTCGAGGCTTGACTCGATACTCGAGGCTCGAAATTTTTTTTCATTTTAGGTCTTTTTACAATTATGTTATTACTTTTTTGCCATTATAGGATTTTATTATAAAGAAGGATATATTGTAAATTTCATATAACTTATATCCATAATGGTCATTTTATAATTATAATACATATATATTATTTAAATAACTCCGGCTCGTCGAGCTACTCGACTCGACTCGAGCTGGGCTATTTCGACTCGAAACTCGACTCGATTTTCATTCGAGTTACTCGAAACTCGGCTCGAACTCGGTCAACCCGAGTTCGAGCCGAGTCGTTGACCGAGCTACTAGCGAGTAGCTCGGCTCGCGTACATCCCTAACCCCAACCATACGCCCATACTCCTTAAAAAAATATATATCAATTGTTGTATTCTAGAAGTTAAAAAAAAAAAAAAATTCATCATTTTTCAATCTAAACAAAAACGTGTCAACTGTCAACAAGCAGTAGCTTCTTCGTTAGGCTATTACTGCTTCTTCATTAAGCTATCTAATGACTGACTTGTATACGTAGTCTCTACTGCCTGCGGAACCTCCCTGCTAAAACCATTTCCTTCATTGAAAGTATTTGGATTTCAATCAACTGAGCTCCATTTACTGCTACTAGTATATTTTCTTTACTGAGGCACGAAAGACATGGATCTCCGGGAATCCATCAGCAACCAAACCCACGTTTCCTTGTCACTCGCAAAACACATTATCTCGACGAAGACCCAGGACTGCAACTTTGTGTTCTCGCCGCTGTCCATCCAAGTGCTCTTGGCCCTGATCGCCTCAGGCTCCAAAGGCCCAACCCAAGACCAGCTCCTCTCTTTCCTCAAGTCCACCTCCACCCACGACCTCAACTCCCTGTCCTCGCAGCTGGTCAACGGCGTCTTCGCCGATGGCGGCCCCTCCGGCGGGCCTCGCATCAGCTTTGCCAACGCCGTCTGGGTTGATCAGTCCCTGCACTTTAAGCCTTCTTTCAAAGAGATTGTGGATGATGTTTATAAGGCCGCTTCCGATCGAGTTGACTTCCAAAACAAGGTAGTAAGTTAGTAACCGTCTCCGTCTATCATTGTTCATCAGCCTACTCATTTTCCTAATTTCTTTTGTTCTGTTTGAATATGTGTCTGCTGAATCATGGTTGTGTTTCATAATCTCATGCCACGTTAGTTAGCTATGAGACAGCACTTAACCACACGGTGCAATTGGGCATACTAGTTGGAATTAAAAAAAGTAGAAAATAGTCTCTAATTGGCATGTCAAACTTTTGGATATGGCAAAAGTAGAGTCACGTTTCTTGTTTGGAGGGTGTGAATTTTCTGCAACCCCTTTATGTTCAAAATAGCAAACCGTAGAATATGCCAAGTTGCTAACGTTTGTTTTTCTTTATTTCTGTTGATTGTTCTTCTGAAGCCTGATGAGGTGACCAACGAAGTAAATGCCTGGGTTCGGAAGGAAACAAACGGGCTTATCAGGGAGATTCTTCCTAGTGGCTCAGTGGATGGAACAACGAGACTGATTTTGGCAAATGCTCTGTATTTCAAAGGAGCCTGGCTAAAGAAGTTCGACGAATCAAATACCAGGGAGCATGAGTTCCACCTCGTCAATGGCAGCTCAATTCAGGTCCCCTTCATGACCAGAAAAAAGAAACAGTACATTAGCGCCTTCGATGGTTTTAAGGTGCTTCGCCTTCCTTATAAACAAGGTGGCGATGATAAACGCCGATTCTCCATGTATTTCTTCCTCCCGGATGCCAAGGATGGGCTGCCAGCTTTTGTGGACAAAGTCAGTTCCGAACCTGGATTCCTGGAAAATCACTTGCCACGCTCAAAAGTACGAGTAGGCGTTTTCCGCATCCCAAAATTTAAGATATCCTTTGGGTTTGAAGCTTCTCAAAGTCTGAAGCAACTGGGGCTGGTGCTGCCTTTCTCTGGTGAAGGACTTACCGAAATGGTCGACTCCCCTGTCAGTCGAAACCTCTGCGTTTCGAGCATTTTCCACAAATCTTTTATTGAGGTTAATGAAGAGGGAACAGAAGCTGCAGCGGCAACTGCTGCCAAAGTGGTATTAATGTCTTATAAACATTACGACAGATTAGACTTCGTTGCCGACCACCCATTCCTTTTCCTTATAAGAGAAGACATGTCCGGGGCGGTACAGTTCATTGGTACCCTGCTTAACCCCCTTGACTCATAGGTAGCGAAGAATTTATAGTACATGGAATGGAAGTCTTCAACAGCTGCATTTCTCTTGTCTTTTGTTTTATGTTGTAATACCTTACTATTCCCCTGCGTACTTACTCCTATATGTTTGGATTGCATTAGTTGTTGTTCACTCTGTTCTTCGCTCCCCTTTCTGGCTGTTGAATATTCTTGTAGTATGTGATTGTAAGAGTGCCTTTAGTTTTGCAATAAAATAAAATTCCAGATTGTAATACTTACAATGTAGTAGTAGTAATTCATATAGATTGATTAGATCTGGTTTTCCTGAACCAATTCTCTTAATTTGAAATAGCAGCTTCTTTAGCTGCATGATCCATCACTGGACTTAAAGATGCGATTTATTTGTGAAATGTTAGTGAGATTATCTAACTTAACTTTGGATGGAGTGCCTTTTTTTTCTTTTTTCTTTTTTTGGTTTTTTTGTGAAAGAGCTCTGGATAGACTACTTTGGAATTTAAAGGTCAAGGTATCAGCTAGTACTTACATGGCGGCAAGTGCTCAAATAAAACTCTACATTACGAGCCGCAGTTAATTAGTTAAATTTATGTGGCAAATGGTCATTCCTTTCTACCATAATTAGATACTTTTAATTCCTGCCTCCACTTATCTTCACGCAGTGACTGAGTAGTCTCCTCGAATATTTCAAGTATTCTAGATTTTTTTTTTTCTTTTTTGGGGGTAAAATTCAAAGACTACAAGATTTAATTGCTGTTTGGAAGATTCTATCCCATCATAATCTGGGCTTGAAGCCCTGACTTGTAGGCCCAAGTTCCGTGGTTCTAAGGAATTCACAACAAAGGTTATCGCTTCTCCGGGTTTTGACTGCTATCTTTTAAAAAAAAAAAAAAAATTTTTTGCCACGGCACATTGATTTTTTTTGCTCTTTTTTTTTTTTTGGTAAATAAGAAGTTATAAACTCAGAATCTTCTATTTATAAACTGGGCACATTAATTCTTATAACTCTATTCCGTTATAATTGTATACTTGTCCAGCTTGTAAAATTGATTTTTAAGGTTGATGTTAACGGTAAGAGTCGTTCAATTAAGCTTTCTCCACCGTCACCGTCAAGGCTAATCTTTTCTTGATTCAAAAAAAAAAAAAAAAAAGGGCTATTGTTTTCTTGATTTTTCTCAGTACTATGGTCATAGTATTAAATAGTAATTTATTGGGTATGATTGATAGATTTGTTTCTTAATAGCTACGCAGAACTGCAGAATCCCAAATCACTTGACGCGTAGCCGTCCAAAGGCAAAACGCACCTTCTCTTCCTTCCTAAAACTAGGAGGCAAGAACCGCGCGTCGCGCGGTAGGGATGAAATTGTTAATGCCCAGTTCAGTATGATGAGCTGGAATATGAAAAAGGAGAAAAATGGAGCTAACAAAGAATTTGTAAAACAAAAGTTGAAGCAGTAAAAGATTAGTGGCAGGGACTAACAATCGTCGATTGATCAGAGCATACAAGGATATTTCAGAAATAAACCTAACGAACCTAAACAGGGAACAGCAGGGGATTAAATATTAAAATTGTGGTGCCATGGATACATTCTTTCAATTCCTTTCCGGTCGAAGATGATGACGCCAAAAGAAGATCTGGATTGTGGAATAAAGAGAAGAACTTCGCCATTTTGAAGTTCATGGTCTGCAACGAATGTATTCCAGTTTTGGTCAAACTTTGTCGCAGTCATTCCAAGACTATATGTCCGGTGTCCACTGGTAATATTAATTGCTGGAGTCTTGGCTTCATTTAATTCCGGGGTCATATATTGTGGAAGGGCCTGCGAATTACCAAGTATAAGTTATAAGAAATGGAGACAAAAAATCAAGAAAGAAGAAAGGTGTATCTATTAAGCCTAGTACAAAATTGGTAGAAAGTAGTAGATGCTGCCAGATTGTGGCCGAAGAATGGATGTATGGATGAAGTGATACGGTTCGAGTTTACGGCAACTGGAACATCTGCATGAAAAACAATTGTCCTTGATCAGTATGAATAGTATAAATTAATATAAGGAGAAATATTGCAAGAAAGAATAATTTCCTGGCTGAATTGGTTGATAATTTGGCACCATTGGTAAAGGTAATGTCCATGGCATTAACGTGAGGGTTTGTGCTGTGCCAAAAGCCAAGGCATCGTAGGTTAAATTCCCTCTACGTCGCAAGAAAAGTAAGTCATATTCATGAATCAAGTTATCTCTGCAATACGATTCCCAGCCTTGTTCAAAGCATCTATCATTGATTGCTACATGCCAAAACAGCGATGCCGTGGTACAGCTCCAAAACCTGGCCGTTTTCAAAGCCAGCTGATTTAAAAACAGAACCAGGGATTTTCTGGGTGGAAAGGGGAAAAATTCAGATATCATGGAAATTGTACAAGACAGCCGATTCAACATTAATATGAAGTGTAAACCTGTTTCTGCAGATTTTAACACATCATAATGTAACACCATGGATTTCCTTGTGGAAGTTCTTTCGTCGAAGGTGCATGGCTGGCTATAAAAATATAAAAAAGAAGCAAAATCATAAATTATTGTTACGAGCAACAGAATGCATATATGCCATAAAAAAGCAAGGAACGCGCAGTCTGCTGCAAAGGCTTCAGAACTGATATCAATGATATTTTGCAACCATTGTTCAACCGAGACAAGAGAGTACAGCGAGGGTTCACCCATGTGTTTTAGAACCATCGGATAGGCCTCAAAGAAGCTTCCCTTGACAGAATATAACGCTTTTATCTGAGGTGACTGGATAGCAGTTGCGGCGTGAATTCGAGAGCCATCGAAGGTGCAAAGGTAGTATCAAATTTTGGCTTTGAGATCCACTGCTTTCCACCTCTTGAAAGGGTTTCTGGGTTTGGCCATTTGCAAGATGGAACGGAAAGGGAAATTATGTGGAATTTCCTCTATCAAAAGATAGGAGCAAGAGTAGACACTTTATACACGTTCAGGATTATCAATGTGGAAAAGATGCAGGATTATAATTAAGGAAGCTGGTGTAAAAGGTTCAACTTTATTGCCTACCAAATATTAGGTGTGCATTGCTTTAAAGAGGCTTTATTGCCGAGAGCGGCTGCAGAAACTTATATCTCCATTTTGCCTTTTTGCTTCCATTCTAGCATTTGGTTTGGTTCGAAGTTAGGGTGTAAATATGAACCAAGATACGGAACAAGTGGACCAAGTTCCATTAGTAATCATTTGGGGAGGATTCATCAATTAATTACATTTCCAAGAAAGAAATTGTAATTTTTTCCTTGCAGAAAAATAAATCCCAGGTAATTGAACCAAGTTGAATATTAGGCCAAAAATATAAGTGGAACAATTTTTTTGGCAAAAAAGAATTAGAACTTGTGTATTTATAATAAATTAAATTACTCAAATTCTCCTTTAACGGGTAAGGAACCGACGTCAAAGGAATTGATTTTTGGGGTAACCACCTAAGAGGCATTTAGCTCTAAGTAATTATTACTATCTCCTTTCGTAGCAGTTCCATGCACTATACTCTGATTAGGGCATTAGGCCATAACTCACATCTGCCTTATATTTCAGCTTCAAGAAAAGAAAAGAAAAACAAAGAGGGAATAAGAATGAATAAATATCTACTTAAATACAAGAAAAAAAGAAGAAATTTCGATGTGACCGTTGACAAATCATTTTATAGACTCATATGTTCACCACATCTAATCTAGGACTTTTCGTTTTCGTCCAACTTCTCTTTCAGCCAAGATGAACATGTCCAAATTTTAATTTTAATTTTAATTGAACTCGAGTCCACTTTGTCGCGTATTTGACTTAAGATTAAAATTTTTTTTTAAATGAACATATTTCATAGCAAGGTTCTCATAATAAATTAAAGCAGTATAATAGTAATAAATTAGCAATAAATAAAAGTTCAATTGTACCAGTGAAATTGATCTGTCAGGAGTAAAAAATCTGCCAGTCCATTTATAATAAGTTTTTTTTTTTGTTTTTTGGTTTGAGGGTAACAGTAAATAGTGACTAATTAACTGTGTTGCCAATGATGGTTCCAGGTTAATATTTTGACCAAGTTTAATTCCTTTTTTCCCAGTTTAATTTTTTTATTCTTTGATTATTGCATCCTAATATAGGGACACTCTACCGTACTGGGGAGGATGAAGCAAACCTAAATGCTTGGAAAATGACAGCATTAGCCCCAAAAAAAAAAAAAATTTACTCACTAACTAAGTGCTGCTACCTTTAGGTCATTTCCTTGTTACATCTCTTTGACAGTGCAGTGCAGGTGTTAATTTAGTAGGCGGTGGGATGATTTTTGGACTGCTGCCATTTTATTCCAAAGAAAATAAAAGTCCCCAAGTGTGCACTTTTCCCTTGAAGGAAAAAACTGTCTGGCGAATTATCCAAGATGTTCTCTTGCCCTCAATGCAGATCATTAAATTTACGCAATGCTTGTCCTACTAATGACAGTTACACATATAACTTCATACAATAATATAATTTATAGCAATGCTCGTCCCTATCTTCATGCAATGCTTTTCCTTATCCCCAAACTTCCCTAGGCCTGCATGGAAATTTTCATGCAGAATCTCCGCGTAGTTTAAATTTCTCTTCTTTTTGAAGGCAGGCTGCCACAGGCTTGACCAAAAAAGCAGCTTTTTTTTAGCCTTTTAACCTGTGACACCGAAATAGTGATCAAATAATACAATTTAGTACACAATCCCATATTCATCTCAAGAATCAATTCTCAAACCAGTAAAAGAGGAAAGCATTGACAGATCAAGAAAATGGTTCATATCATTGCCGAACATAGGCTCCATAGCGGACCTGTCCAGTTCAACTATCGAAACCACTTAGACACAAGGCAAGAGGCTGGTTCAAAAACCACCATTCTAGCCCGAACCTAAAACAGAACAGAACCCAAGTCTTGTAAATATCCACAACTGATACGCATCCTTGTAAGAAGCTATTCGCAGAGCGAGGAAAAAAAACACACAACCACATCATTAAAAGAGCAAGTTTAACACATTCTGAATAGCAAAACAGTAGATCTAGAGAGATCCAGCCAGGACCTAAAACCAGCTAAATTCACAGCAGGTCTAAAACACAAAAGATGGCTTAAAAGAGGAAAGCATGTAGGCTAGATCAAGCATAAGAGTACAAGCCTAAATAGGTTTACACAGCAGCAATGTAATGACAAAAGACTTTCTGACGAGTGCAAGCAGTTCAAGCATTCCTTGGTTTTTTGCTGCTTGTGAAATCCCAAGTTTCTGATGCAGTATCTTCGGCTTCCTCGCTGAGCTTTTTTTTTTTTTTGCAAGGCAAATGTGAGTTTTGGAGGAACTACACGGCTTACCTATACAAGAAGGGAATTTTTTTTTTAGAATATACTCAAGAAACATGGAAAATAGGGATTCATCGAAGGAATAGGAAGCACCTGAAACATCTATTGCAGAAGATTGACTTTCTGTTGCAGAAACGGCTTGCTTCCTGTTAAGGCAGAGTTGACTCTTGGAAAAAGAACATGATTTTTCTGTATAATAAAACAAGCGAAAAGTAATCAAAAAAAGAATCGTGTAGCAGCATGAAAAGACACTATATAGTGAACCATTTAGCAATAACCTGGAGTATCAACTGCAGAAAGCTGACTGGCCACCTGAAAACTACTTGGGGGCTGTTCTTCAATGAGTTCATAGTCTTTGGTGTCCTCAAATTAGTATCTTTGGTGTTTCCAGGCCTAACCTGAGCAATGAATGTCGTCTTGGACTTCAACGTGTCATGAATCATGTCCAGTGGGAGTTCTTCATTCTGAGGATTAGTTAAACAAAATGGCTAATTAAGAAACCGTAACAAAGGGTATCACAATACAGATGTTCTGCTTCATATCTTAGAGTATTCGTTTATGTAGTTTTATATAAACCTTGTTATACGAATCCGTTGCCGCAACTGCAGTAAATCCAAGTAATTGCTCAGCCAATTCACTAGACACAGAGGCTGTCATGACACTGGTATCATCAGTGAGGTCAACATCAAAGCAGCAACTGGTTTGGAGGATAAATACCATGAAAAATTTAGGGAATACTTCCATAGCAAATATTCATGTTCAGTAAACAAGAATATATAGCTTACCTTGGTGTTGCAGACCCGGCGGAGCAGGTCTGGGAATTTTCTCAACAGCAGCATTACTAATGCAGTACCTCTTGAAAGGAAAAAACAAACCTTCAATATGAGCAACGTTACCATCAAAGGCAACAACAGAAACCTTTACGCCCTGTCCAGCACAAGACACGAAGCAAAAATAAAAACCTCACAACAGCAAAGCAAGGAAAAAAGAACAAAACAATAACGGGATGAAAATGAAACGTACCTGTGAATCAGCAAAGACGAAGCGACGATACTTTTTGGATGCATGCTCTGCATAGCTAGTTTTAAGATGAGACACCTCAATAACTTGGATGACACAAGTCCATTGGGGCAGGGAGCTATGGACCTCAGACACACGTAAAGGCTCAATGGCCATCTAAAAATCAAAATGGAAATAAAGATAATTCAAGACAGAATCTAAATTTATCAAGGAACTAAAGATAGGAAAGAAAAAAATAATCCAAGTTTAGAGAAGAAATGTATAACAGGACTAAAAAAAGGGAAATTCTACGAAACACGCAACAATAAGCATAGCCCAAATGTGTAATAGGATTCAGAGAAAGGGATAAGTCAAATTCGGTCTCAGAAAAAGAAAAAAAAAGGGAAAATTATGTTGGTAACAGATAAGGCAATTAGGTGCGCTAGCTGAGCTACAAAAGGCAAAAAAAGGGAAATTCTATGAAACACGCAACAGTAAGCACAGCCCAAATGTGTAACAGGATTCAGAAGAAGGGATAAGCCAAATTCGGGCTAAAAAAAAATATGTTGGTCACAGATAAGGCAATTAGGTGCGTTGACTTAGCTACAAAAGGCAATTAATATATATATTTTTAGAGGCAAAACTAAAAAATAATGCATAACCCCACACTTCTCTGAAGAAGTAGATGTCTAACTGGAGGGGTAGGTATAAACAGCAACATAACAACTCCAGGCTAAAACGCACAGAGCAAAAGAGCAACACAGCACAAAACAGCTTCAGTTTCTCGAGGTAGGCACCATAGTTTTTTTTTCAGAACACAAGCTACAGATCAAAGGGTAAGCCCCAAACAGCACAAATGCAGACTAAGCAGGACAGACGTGCAAGAGTCTGGAGCATAAAACATCAGATGCGAACAAAAGAGACAAAGCTAAGAAGGGCAAGATCGCACCTTATTCGAGAGGAAAAACAGAAGGCATGCATTCAGGGAGGAATGGCACTTCGTTGGCCTGTAAGGAAACAGTTTCAAGAATCACTCCACAAACCAGTAAAAGAAACCTGTAAGGGAACAGTCTCAAGAAAGAATAAATAAAAAAAAAAAAAAACCTAAGAAGGGCAAGATCGCACCTTATTTGAAGAAAAAATAAAATTAAAAAAAACAAAGCTAGGAAGGGCAAGATCGCACCTTATTCGAGTGGAAAGACAGAAGGCATGCGTTCGGGGAGGAAAAAAAGGTCAAAGATGGCACCTCCTTGGCATGTAAGGAAGCAGTCTCAAGAATCACTTCAGAAGAAAACCGTTTTCTGTTCAATAAAGAGAGGCAAAAAGAAAGAGAGGCAAAAAGAATAAAAAGGAATTTTATGGAAGAAATAGAAATGTACAATGGCAGAGGAGGAGCGTACCTCACCGGAAAGGAAGAGGCAGAAAAGGTACAATGGAGGAGAAGGAGGCGCCGTGAACAGACGGCAGCTTATCCGGACTACTGCAACACAGAGAAAGCGAGAGACAGAGGATGCATGGCCGCTTCGCAGCTCGAAATGGGAACCAAAGAACAAAAATAAAAAATATCAGTTTTTGGTTTAAACTCACAGAGTAAGCTCACAGTGAATCATGCACTTCACCGGAAGTAAAAAGAAGAGAAGAGAAAATAGAAATATACAATGGCAGAGGAGGAGCGTACCTCACCGGAAAGGAAGAGGCAGAAAAGGTACAATGGAGGAGAAGGAGGCGCCGTGAACAGACGGCAGCTTATCCGGACTACTGCAACACAGAGAAAGCGAGAGACAGAGGATGCATGGCCGCTTCGCAGCTCGAAATGGGAATCAAAGAACAAAAATTAAAAATATCAATTTTAGGTTTAAACTCACAGAGTAAGCTCACAGCGAAGCATGCACTTAACCGGAAGTAAAAAGAAGAGTAAAGAAAAAAAGAATACAACGGAGGAAAATGAAGAGAACCAAATGATACCACTGCAACCCAGAGACCGAAATAGAGCAAACAGAACAATACCGTCAAGAAGAAGGAGAGAGAGAAGCTAGGCGAAAGGAGAGGCATTGGATTCTGCCAGATAGAGAAACACAGCAGAAAACGCAGCAGGAGACACATGGGTTACTGACAGAGAAAAGAAAGAAGATAAGATGGCAATGGAGCTGAACCCGCCGCGCCATGCGCGAAGAACACAGTGCTGCTAATCCACATGCGCGGCATGTGAGAGGACGACGAAAAACCTCCAGGTCACCACAGCTCTTCGCATGTTATCTACTTATGTTGAGAAATGAATTTCCACCATCACTTGCGTTGTCTTGCTCATGCCTTTGGACACCTCGCTGCAAAATTACTGTAACACTTTTTTGTAATTTGATACACGTGAAATAAAAAAGTGATTGAAAATATAAAAAATAAATTAAAAATTATGTTTATGATGCAAGCGAAATATTATTTAAAATATTTTAACTATCCAAACACTCAGTGACTTAGAAAATCGGAAAATGGACAAGTTTCGAATAAATGGTCCGTAGGGAAAAGATTCCAGGGCATTTATCACGACCCAATGGTCCATTTCACGTTTCATCTGATCTAGAATAGATTCAAAGCCCACGTATCGAGAATCACATCTCGTTTTCTTAGTAGAGAAGAAAGAAGAGAAAAGTTACCTCACCCGCCCAAAAATGATTTATTAATTGCTAAGCAACCTCACTATTAAAGGCAGAGTTATTTTATGCTTCTCACGAGAAGCTCAAACTCAAGCTCAAGCTCGCCTCTCTTTCTGTTTCCACTTTCCATTTTCCATATACTCCAAGAGAAGAAGAAATGGACCTGAGAGAGTCAATCAGCAAGCAAAACGACGTCTCATTGGCACTCGCAAAACACGTCATCTCGTCGGAGGCCAAGGACACCAACTCCGTCTTCTCACCGTTGTCCCTCCACGTAGTATTGGGCCTGATTGCAGCCGGCTCCAAGGGCCCGACCCAAGACCAGCTCCTCTCTTTCCTCAAGTCCACCTCCACCGATCACCTCAACTCTCTCACTTCTCAGCTCGTCACTATTGTCTTAGCCGACGGCGCGCCCTCCGGCGGGCCTCGCTTGTCCTTTGCTAATGGCGTCTGGATTGATCAGTCTCTGCCTTTTAAGCCTTCTTTCAAAAAGATTGTTGATGAAGTTTATAAGGCCGCTTCCAATCAAGTAGATTTTCAGAACAAGGTAATAAAACTTCTTGGTCTTTTATCAAAAAAAAAATTTTTTCTCTTTTTTCCTGTTAATTTTCTCACATGGGCTTTTTCTTTTCGTTGTGTTAAGCTATTCGTTTGTCATCATGCGTTTGCCTTTTTTAGTTGATTATCTATTGGTAATACTTCCTGCGCCTTTTGCAAGTACTGAAATTGGCTAGTAGGAAAGGGAAGGGGCTTAAAAGAAGAGGCTTTTTTGACTGTTGTATGATTGAGGTTTATGTGCATGTTGCACGGAGGAGTTTTTTGATTGTGAAACTGTTTCTTTAGTTTGTTGATTTTCTTTAGTCTGTCCTAATAAGCACTTTGACGGGTAGAAAAGAATTGGCTCTTCATGAATTTCCTGCACTCGTTTGGATGATATTTGTCGTAAGATTTTCTTGCAATTAGTCTTTGGTTATGTTCTTGGAAGTTGCTGATAAGCACGCATATTCAGGTTGAATGCCTAGGACTGTCTCCTTCTATTTGTAGAGAAAGTTCGCGTCTTCATTAATTTCCGGCAGTGCTTCAGATCATACTTGTCCTCGGATTTTCTTACAATCTATTTGGCTCATGTCCTTGGAAGTTAAAGATAAACGCAAACATTTTGGTTAAATGTGAAACTCAATCAATGAGTATAGTTAATTTGCTCACTTGTCTTCTTTTAAGAGTTGATTTTCACTTCCTGATTTATATAGTAAGGGCTGCGGAAGTTGGACACTGTTTTTTATCACATTATCTGAAATAATAAAGTTTTAGCATAACATTCCTGTGATCTTGAATTGTTTTGATCTTGGAATTATGAGTAGTAACTGGTTCATTTAGGGCCATGGACATCTTAATCTTTACTTATTTTCTTATGTGATTATTGATTGACCCCTACTCTTCCAGAGTACATCTAAATATGCTACCTAACAACAGATCATGGAACTGTCTTCCAGTGCCGTTTTAGCTTTTCAATATAGTTAAAACTCTGGCTTCTAAGGTTCTCTTTGTAGAGCTGTCAACTTGGTTCTCAATTCTATCTGCAAACTTGAGCATTTTGTCTCTTAAATTTCGTGCTTTGTGTCTGAATGAGAAGCTTTGTGCTTTTGCTCTATGCATCAAGTCCTTTACGAAAAGATGGTTTTGTTATTGTATTAGAAATTCAGTATTGACTTGTAATCTTTGTTGTAATATGCATGGGTTCCATAACTAGAGAACATGGTAAGGAAATTAGCAAGGGAATCAGTAGTGTTAATACGTTTGCTAATGTTTGCATTGGTGTTGATGAAGCCTGCTGAGGTCACCAATGAAGTAAATTCATGGGCCGAAAAGGGTACAAGTGGACTGATCAAAGAAATCCTTCCTCCTGGCTCTGTAGACAATACAACAAGGCTGATCTTTGCGAATGCGCTGTACTTTAAAGGAGAATGGGATGATAAGTTCGACGCATCAAAAACAAAGGAGCATGATTTTCACCTACTGAATGGCAGCACAATTAAAGTTCCCTTCATGACCAGCAAGAAGAAACAGTATATAAGTGCCTATGATGGGTTTAAAGTACTGTGTCTTCCTTATAAACAAGGTGAGGATAAGCGTCGCTTCTCCATGTACTTTTTTCTCCCAGATGCCAAGGATGGGCTGCCAGCTTTGTTGGACAGAGCTGGTTCTGAACCTGGATTCTTAGAGCATCATTTATCACGTTCAAAAGTAGAAGTTGGCGACTTCCTCGTACCAAAATTTAAGATATCCTTTGGATTTGAAGCTTCTAAAACTCTGAAGGGACTGGGGCTTGTGCTGCCTTTCTCTGGTGAAGGCGGCCTCACTGAAATGGTAGACTCCCCTGTGAGCCGGAACCTTCATGTTTCAAGCATCTTCCACAAATCCTTTATTGAGGTTAACGAAGAAGGAACAGAAGCTGCAGCTGCAACTGCGGCTACGATAAGGCTACGGTCTGCGCAATTTTTCAATAAATTAGACTTTGTAGCTGATCACCCATTGCTTTATTTTGTAAGAGAAGACATGACTGGGGTGGTGCAGTTTATTGGTAGTGTGGTTAATCCTCTTGATTCTTAACAACCGCTGGAGAATGGGTTGCTGTTTCGGTCTTTTGACATGTAGCTTATTTTGTCTGGTTAATGGTATGTATAATGCTATTGTCTAACCCCTATAAGTTCGGCTTTCCGATGTACTGTATGTTATGTTGCTTCCAGTTGTTTTCAGGTACTTCTGTTCAGAGATCCTATACGTGAATTTTAAGTGTTGTGTTTTCGGCATTGTTTCCCTATAGCCTATAGGTCAAAACGTGAACTTATCTAGCAGTATCTGATGATGACTTGTTTTCCTCTGGTTCAAAGCTTGAATTTAAGAGGGTGAAGCTTTACTGGATGCCAAAAATGTTGTAACTTTCTGTTCTGTGCGCTGTTCATCCAACTACTCTTGGGCCTGATTTGCCTCGGGTTCCAAATGCCCAACCCAAGACCAGCCCCTCTCTTTCCTAAGTCGACGTTGTCTTCGCGGCCGACGGCGGTCCTTTCGGCGGGCCTAGCATCAGCTTTGCCAATGCCGTCTGGGTTGATCAGTCCCTGCATCTTAAGCCTTCTTTCAAAGAAATTACGGATGATGTTTGTGACTTTATAAGACCGCTTCCGATAGAGTTGATTTTCAAAACAAGATAGTAAGTTAATAACCGTCCATCATTGTTCGTCAGGCTGATTATAGCAGTTGCGGTTTTAGTATCACATGAAACGTTAGTTAGCTATGAGAAGGCACTTGCCAATATGGACATACTGGTTGGAATTAAAATGTGGCAAAATAAATTAGCAAATTAGATTTCAGAATATGGCAAAAGTAGAATCAAGTTTCTTGTTTGAAGGGACAAATGAAGATTTCTTTAAAGGGGCTCAATCAAAATTCAAGCCAGATATTTAGAAGTTTCTAATGCTAACAGTAAGGAATGTGTTTTATAATTTTCTTTGAATGCTCCAAAAATTTTAACAATTATATGTAAAAATTTAATTTATATTTAGAAATTTTATAATGAAAAGTATACACAATGTTTAACAATTTGATATGTTCCGGTGTGACATTTATTCACATATTCAAAATGATTCAAAAGAAAATAAACTCAATACTCCTTTTTTGTATTTTTTAAAATCCATCTTTTATGTGGTCATTGGATATTTGAATGCCTTTTGCACACAGGATAGAGTGATATTACCACCATGTTGTGTAAGTAGGTAGATTGCTATTGATGGCTTTTATTTTTTGTATTTTGTAAGTTTAAGAAAACCTTCCATATTTCTTTTATTTTTTTTAAGTCTATGCGTATTTGAAAAAAGCCATAAATAGTATCGTAAGATAAAGGTATAATTATTAGTATTTTCAAGTATAAATTTTGAGATGTTAATTATCATTCATAATTTAGTTTTATCATCATCACTTAAGAGTATCGTACACTGACAATTTAAAATATTTTTTTTTTTTGGCAAATTTGTAATTTTTTTTTTGGTACTATAATGATAGACAGCTTTAATTTTGGTCGAAAAATGTGAAGATTGATAATCTTTCCATGGGGTTCAAGCTATGAAAAAGGAAAATATTACGCAACGAATATTCAAATTAAGCATAATTTGCAAAAAGATATATATATATATATATATATAACAGATTCACCAGCTACCAACGCAAGGGCTTAGATAGAATTATATAAAAACAGATGAATAATTCACAGGCTAGGCTACCACCGACCCAAGAATTGGCACTCAGAAGTCAAAACCCAGCCCCATCTCAATCTGCTTAATTTGCAGTAGAAGCGAAATGCATTTCCCACAAGTACATCTAATA